CATTCATTATTTTATATGTATATAAAATAATTATTAATTTATTATTATATTAAATTTATTTAAAATGGTGCTAAACGGATTGATAGGTCTCACCCAAATACGACTCGTTTATTAAACGTGTTTAATGGGTCAATCCGTTTACCACCCAAATTCATTTAATTCGTATCGATTTGTGTTGTTTAATCGTGTCATGTCTGATTTTGACAGGTGAAGTTTGACTCATACTTTACATGAACCATTATCAATATTAATTAGAACGGAAGATGTCATTCCAGATACGATTTAGTCGTATAGTAAGAGAGTAGCTGACCCCCAGCTTGATCAATCATTGAAGTGTAGGAAGAGTGTGGAAGCATTTTATGGTTTCCTTGTTTGGACCGACATTGACATCTCCTAATAAAATTTGAGACAATTCTTTGATTGGAAAAGCAAAATGGAACATGGAATCATATGTTATGTTTGAAAAAATTGTATTTTGACCCCTCAACATCTTGTTTTTCATATTACACCTTCCATCAAATAATTGAACAGATAATTTGAGAAACTTAACAAGAGTGAAGTGAAATCATCACATTCTAAAAAGAAAAGAATACTTTCCATTACATGTGCGACTGAAACTTTAATGCCAAACAGCTCTCTTGCCCATTGGTTTCTTTTTCAAATCTTTTTAAGTTGGGTTGTGATTGGGCTAAAGAAGCTGTAGGGTTATAATAAACTATCATTATATTAATTAAAGCTGAGATTTAGGTTATCTCAAGGGTTTACTTTGGAGATTTGATGACGTTAAACAGATTATGCAGCCCATAAAATAGACTATCAGAGAGCATCCACATCACTTTCCCCGTTCACTTCTTCATTTCCCCCATTTTAACAAATTTTCATCTCAAATTTTACTACCAAAGTTGGAATGAAGTTAGCACTATAGGACGACATTTCTACTCTTCAGTAACATATTGGAAAATGAAAAATATTTTAAAAAATAATAGATTTTTTTAATTGAGTGATAAGTTCTAACAAAAAAAGAAGTGAACCAAAAAAAATTAAATGAATTCAAAGGGAGTGAATCCTACAAGTTGGCAAGCTCCACCTAAAAAGTAATATAGATACTCAAAAAATATTAAGTAATATAGTATTGTTTTTTTTTTTTTGGTACAGTAATCAAACCCTTTTGTTGAAATATCAAAGTACAAGAATCTAATGCAGAGGCAAGAGTTTTTTCATTCAACTATTGTCAAAGAAAATTTTATTGCTCACAAGCATTAGGGGGACACCAAAATGCCGGAGAGGACTCTTCCGAAATGAGGACAGAAATTCGGGGCACCCTTCATGGCTGCAACTGCGGCTTTTGGGCACCACCACCACTACTCTGACATATCATAAGTCTCTTGGAATCCAAGCTCATTCAATGATCCATAAACCCTCAAAGTACAACTACAGATTTTTTTTTTTTTGCAGAACATCAAGACTTAGCTAAAACATTTACTCAAATTTCAGTTAATATTTTACTCAAAATATTTGGTTTGATATAAAACATTCCAATGAAGAAACTTAAATTTAAAGGAGGATAAATTCAAATTTAAAAAAAATGAAATACAATCGTTGGATCTTTAAAAGATGGTGAAATTTAACTATTGAAAATTTTATTAAATATTTGAGTCCCGAGTAAAAATTTGTGTCTCATTTTGTTGGATATGAGTTTAAATAAGTGCGTAGAGCTTGTTTTTAGTCTATTTAATTTGAGTAAAAGTTGAATATTCCCGCAAGCTCCATGAATTANAGTGCGTAGAGCTTGTTTTTAGTCTATTTAATTTGAGTAAAAGTTGAATATTCCCGCAAGCTCCATGAATTAATAGATATAGAAATAAGTATTTGAATTGGATATCGAAAAACAACTGATACCAAAGTTTACAAATTTTTTGGGTTAAGATATAAGTTGTGAGTTATAATTACAACGAAAAATAGTTTGGATTGATACTATAAATATATATTTTTTTGGGATCATGTTATAACTTTCGGCATTCAATTTATAACTTTTTTAGGGATCAAGTTATACCTTTTTAGAATGTTTGAGATCAATCTTAATTATTTTAGAATCGATTCTAAATGTTAAAATAGATCCAAACATTCTAGTTGCTAAACCAAAAAGATTATAAAGGATCCCAAAAGGGCAAAGTTATTTATACATAATTTACTTGCCGAATTTGTTGACTATTAATCATTTATGAATTCCAATATTTTATTAGGACTCACAATCAATTCAGTAGTTTTGACACGTCAGGTTAATAAATTTTTCCAGTAAATTAGGTTTAAATAATATTATTGATCTCAAAAATATAATTTAAAAACTCAAAAAAAATTGTATATGATGGTACATCATTGATCCTAAATGTTAGGGTAAAAATTCCATCCCAAATCGCCAAAAGATTGTAAATGATTCCAAAAAAATAGTGTAAAAAATTTAAACAGTTGTATACGATGTTCAATAATGCTACACACATCACCTTTCTACGTCAATTTTGTGCACCGCCTTAACATATAGACCGCAGGGAAGGCCAGGGGGCGGAGCTACTTGGGTCAGCCCCCACTCAATTTTGAAGAAATATTACATATTTATTGTATTAGAAAAATAAATTATATTTAGTTTATTACATTGCCCCCTCTTAAGTTTTTGAAAATTTGCATAATAGCCTTATGCTATGGAAAATAGGAAGGATGAAAAATAAGAGGGATACAATTTCTGTCTTTCAAAGATGAAAAATAGGAATGATACATTTTCATTCTTTTGTGTTTGGTTGGATGGATGGAAAATAAAAATGACTAATTTTTTTTTTGTGCTGACTAAGATTAGGGGTGACAATCGAGTCGTGTCATGTCAAATTCGTGTTGAGTCATAAAATTATGAGCCTTTTATATTTCTTGTTCGAGTGTCAGGTCATTTTCAAGTTTGTGTCGAGTTATAATCAAATTCGTATCTTAAAATTCGTGTCGAGTTCGAGTCGTATTATAGTGTTGATTAGAAAATTTTCACCCCTAATTAAGATGAAAAAAATATATTTTTAATTTTATTTTTTTTATTTATTTTATCATTGTATTTTTATATGAAATTAATGTATACATAATATATAGACAAATAAGATACATATCAATACAAATAATTAATTTTTCATCCACTTTTCTTTTGATTTTAAAGGGATTAATTTTGTTGAGTTGGAAAGAAAGTTAATTCACACACTTTTTCATCCTTACTATTTTCCTTCTTTACCAAACATAATGTTTTATTTATCCCTCTAACTTTTCATCTTTCCAATTTTTCATCATACTAAACGGAGCATTAGTCTATTTTCTTTTCAGTAAGTTAGTGGTACATTGACCTCTAATTTGCTGAAATAAATATTTTATTTTTAGACTAAATAATAAATCAAATGTAAAACACCTTAACTCATATATTAACCGAAGATGAAACCTTTATTATTTAATATCTTTCCTCTTATTCTTTAAAAATAGTTGTATAGTTATCTATCAATTTTTTTTTTAGATTGTTGGCTCATAAATTAGTATCACACAAATTAATGCAACTAATAAAATATACTAACCCGAAAGATCAATTTAAGCTATTCCAAAAAATCAATTTCTCAACCACATTAAAAGAAAACTATTGAGAATTTTATGTCATGAAACTAAACAATAATAGTCAATTCTTGAAATTTAATACAATGTTAACGTGTTCTACTTGTATAAATATAATACCCAATTTACTCCTTATTAATTAATATCCAAATTTTTGTTATCTCAGTTAATTAATTTTTCATTCATATTCTTGCCCCCTCTCGAATAGAATTCTGGCTCCGCCCCTAGGAGAGGCTCAAGATAATTTAAGACTTAAAGCGAAATTATTAAAAGAAAAAATTAATTTATTATTAATTTTTATGTAAGAGAGACAAAAGAAATATGCGATAGTGTAGTCGAGAAAGATGTTTCAACTTTTGTTTTTGCTTTTACTTTTGCTTTATATTATAGTGTGTGTTTTTAATTTCAACTTTTTTTTTATTTTTTACTAAAGATAGAGCATAGATGAGAGTAAATATGAGTTGACTTTTTAATATTTTTTTATTTTTTTAATTTCTAATTTTTAGGTTTCTAATGTAATGGATTAGATTATTGGCCTAAATTATTGTAATAAAAATTTTGATTTAACTTAATCTTTTAGGGCTTAAAATTTTTTGGATTCATATATTTTTGTGAACTAGTAATGTACCAAAAATTATGTGACCTTCTAAAAATTTGGGATCTAAAATACAACCTTTATTTTTTAAAGAAATTTGGAGGTCAGTCTCCCTTTATGGACTTATTTGGTAGAAAAATTATTTAATATTAAATCTATTATAATCTCAATTGTATAAAATACACCTAGTAATTACGTTTAATTAAAATAATTTTTTATTTTATTGGGCCGGCCTTCCCACAGAGTTTATTAGATAAACAAGGACTCTAATTGTATCACATCAAGTGTTATAAGAGAAATGGCGTATAAAGATGATATCCACAGCATTATTTTATGATGTATATCATTGATCCTAAATATTAGGTTGAAAATTCAATCGCAAAACCCCGAAAGATAATAAATTATCCCAAAAATATAGTGCAAAAACTCTTAAAAGTTGTATATCATGGTACGATACCATGTTTTTTTTTTTTTGGGTATGATAGAGTACGATAGACCTCTCCTATAAAATAATAGTGCAACTCTCTCTCTCTCTCTATATCTGTCTATCTCTCAATGTCTCTCTCCCATGAGTCATGCCTATGAAAGCAGCTTCCTTCCTAAACTAATTTATTAGTTTAATTTGTTGACCTAATTTGTTAATCTAATAATTCTAATGACATCACGTTATTAAGTCAACAAATTATGTCAAATTTTTAGGTCTAAATAGCATTTTCCTAAAACAATTACTTCCCATCAACAAATTTTTATCCGTTTTTGCTTCCAACACATATTGTAGAGTTCTACTGAGGTGAGACTCACAAAACACTATCTGATGGAACCACCGACGAAACAGCTATATGCCCAGGAAACCTCAAGCACCATCTCTCCACCAGAGGCCTCCCTATGTCCACCATATACATCTTTGCTAAACTCGAAAGAGAACATCCAAGAAGAAGGAGAAGAAGCAGATCAAGAGCACGAGACTAAGCCCGATCTCAAAAAGGATCTCAAGCTTGCCGGAGAGGCCTCGAATCATCTGTCCAATCCAGAGCTCAATCTCATTGATTGTTTGAACATGACTTCATCAGAAACTCCACAAGAATCTAATGCAGAACCAAGAGTTTTTTCATGCAACTATTGTCAAAGAAAATTTTATTGCTCACAAGCATTAGGGGGACACCAAAATGCCCACAAGAGAGAGAGGACTCTTGCGAAACGAGGACAGATATTCGTGGCACCCTTCATGGCTGCGGCCGCGGCTTTTGGGCACCACCACCACTACTCTAACATGGCTTCTCTTCCTCTTCATGGTGGCTATCATAAGTCTCTTGGAATCCAAGCTCATTCAATGATCCATAAACCTGTGCATAAGAGTTTGTATGGACATACTGGATGGCTGAGACCTTCTATAGACCAACAACAGGCAATAGGGAAACTAGAAGCACTGGATAATTACCCTGCAATTGTATCAACAGGCCGATCCTCTCGAGGGGGTATTGGTAGATTTGACATGGTTAGGACGATAACAGCTCCTCCCACCGATGGAGTGGTTGGTGGGCGGCTTTGGGACAGTGGTGGCCGTTTGAAGGCTAATAATCAAGATGAAATGCAAAATCTTGACTTGTCTCTCAAGCTCTAAGTCTTTAGTAAAAAGGAAAGAATGGTTCGTCCTGTGCTAATTGCAAGGCTCCAAATTAATGTATATTGAATATCAATGCCAGTGATTGCTGTCTGTCCGTGGGTTGATGATCAATTCAAAATTCAAGACGAGCACATCAGATCCTCAATAAGTATCTCAGGCTACAACTAAGTTCGATTTCTTTTTTCCGTTTAATCGAATTCTGTGTCTGTGATCTCTCTTTTGGCTTGGTTGAGTTTTGGTTTATAGTCACTTCTTCTGAGATTATTTCTGTGTATATACTTGATTATCAGTTTCATTTTTTATATAAATTCAATCAGATTTCATACCTGTGGTCTTTCTTTCAGTCTGGTTTAGTTTTGGTTATAGACACTTTCTGGGACTGCTAGTGTATACTTGATCATTGAGAAGTATTAAAAAAAAATTAGCCTCTTTGTTCTTACCCCCGAGCTTAAATGCCTATCTCTAGGCAGTATGATAAATGATTAAAATTTTGTTTCGGTGTATTTTTTCAGTCCGCTAAAAAACACAAATGTTTCAAAAATATTTTGAAAACAACATGAAAACGAATACAAATTTTAAGAGTTTATTTCTAAAAAATATTGGTCAAAATATACCAAAACATCTCAAAATATCTCAAAACATTCTAAAGAAATGATAGAATTTGAAATATTTCAAAACACATCAAAACATTATAAAACACCTTGAAACATGAATTTTAATTTCATCACTATTTCGTTTCAATCCACTTGAAAACAAAAATATTTTAGCCGTTTCAACCATTTTGAAATGAAATTTTAATTCTTTAACATCATTCAAGAGCTTCTTGTGCTAATACTAGACCAAAAATACTTATATCCTTGGGGAAGCAGCAAAATTACTAAATCTCCACAACTGAAGAGATTTTGAAAACTAAGATTTAGTCAGGGATCGAATTTTTGTTTTGGTGTATTGTTTTAATCAATTAAAAAATAGAAATGTTTCAGAGATATTCCCAAAACGTTTTTGGAAATAACATGAAAACGAACACAAATTTTGAGAGTTTATTTCCAAAATATTATGAAATCTTGATCAAAATATACTAAGACATCTCAAAACACCTCAAAACATTCTGAAACAATGGTGAAAACGTGTTGAAGTATCTCAAAACACATCCGAACATTCTAAAACACCTTGAAGCATTAGATTTTTGATTCCATCACAATTTCGTTTCGGTTCTCTTAAAAATGGAAATATTTCAACCGTTTCGATCATTTTAAAACGAAATTTTAATCCTTAAATTTAGTTCATTTTCAGGGGATCCAAGTGACTTTAGCCTACACTCCAATTGTGTACATTTTAGATTTAAAAAAAAAAAACTGATACCAACTTGTACATCAAAAAAGGAGAGATAACAAGTTAATTAGCCCATCATCGTAGTTCGAATGATAGAGTGACGGTGGCTAATATCTCGACGGTCCAAATTCGAGCCTTAGAAGGGACATCTTGTTTAACCCAATTCATATAATCAATATATATATATATATATATATATATATATATATATATATATATATATATATGATTGCACACATTCAATGTCTATGTCGCCACCATGAGTCATAGGGCCGTGGTTGGGATGATTCTCTCAGTTAAATAATAGTGTTTTAAGTATCAAGACATTCATAAGGCCGGCCTGAATTACTCAATGTGTTTTGCTAACAAAAGGCATTCAGAAAGACATGAACAAAATCAAGGAGATCTTCTAAATGGGACCCTGAAAATATTCCATTTTGATTGATTGACATCATTATCAAGACTATTGTACCCAACATTCAACAAGTATTAAGAAAATTCATTTTGAGACATATAAAACTTATGGCACCTCAAATTAATTTCATGAATTATGTTCCATTTTGATTGATTAACATCGTTATCAAGATTACAGTACCAAACATTTAACAAGTATCATGAAATCCACAAAAAAAATATTTTTGATTTAAGACATTTAAACTTTATGACACCTCAAATCATTTAATTAACCACTAAAACACCACCAAGAAATGGAGATAACATGGAGAAAATATGAAGCTGTCAACTACAAATATAATATATAATATAAAAACCAACAATAGTGAGTTGGATAACATTTCAATCATACCTTAAAAAAAGAAAAAGATTGTTACTTTATTCTCTTGTTAGATTTTAAATTTGGAAATGTTATGTTATGTTATGTTAATTAGTGGAACTGGTGCTTGTCTTCGATGTAAGGTTTTCCGTTTAATTATAGGATCACTAAATCTAGGAAAGATTTGATTCCTATTTTAAAATCTAGTGTGATTGTCAAAGTCTATGTCAACACGTTTTATTTAATACCATACTAGGCAGCTTTATAGGGATTGGTGGGATTTATTTAAGCCTTTCTAGCCCTGGAAATATGGGCATTTTAACACTCCTTGATAATATAAATTAGGGTTAATTATAAATTAGACCCTAAAAAAATTTTTGAATCTTAATTTATACCCTCAAAGATCAACAATTTTAATTTATACCCTTAACTATATAAATTTGTATTAATGTGCACATGAAACTAACAGCCGTCTAATTTATAAATAGATAAATTACACCTAATTCCCTTTATATTTGTCACTTAATTATACCTTCACATTTAAAATGTTACACATACTGACATACACCCTCTGAGAATCCAAATATGACTAAAAATATTCCTCCAATTAGGCATCCAAATAATTCTGTTCAAGTGAAGTATTGTATTGAATATAAACAACATTATATAACATCATTATTCTTGAACATTATTTAATACTTGTATTGTATTGAACATTTAAAAAATAAACCTGATTTTGAACTTTATAGTACAACAGGCCCACAAAAATAAAGGATAGTATAAAAATTATAATTGCATATTAGGACGACATCATGTTTTTTAACGATTACATTAACGTATATTGACGACAGAGGGTTATGTATTATACACGCACAAACATCAGGGGTATAGGTATAATGTTCTAGAGGTGAGAGGGATCAGTGATTAAGTGACAAACTTGAAAGAGTTTAGGTATAATTTATCCATTTAATTTTAGACAGCAAACTGACGGCTGTTAGTTTCAAGTGCATATTAATACAAATTTATATCTTTGAGAGCGTAAATTAAGATTTTTAATTTTTGAGAGTATAAATTGAAATTCAAAAAAGCTTTTAGAATATAATTTGTGATTAACCCTATAAATTAATGGGTTCAACTACCATATCTTTTAATTTTTTCTTATCAGAATATGTTGTGTAAAAAAAAATTATATTTTATTAATTTTTTATTTTATTATTTTCAAGATCTATGGTTGCAAACAAATTAACACAAAATCAATAATCCACAACAAATTTTGGTATAATACAACTTTGGTAACATTATGCCCTCCATAAAGCCACTTGTCATCCTTTACATGCGTGTTGTTTTTTTTTTTTTTCTACATCTTAGAAATGGTATTTCCCTATATATATCATCTGCCACCTTAACTAACTTGGTGATTCAAGCAAACTCATAACTCAGATTAATTCACTAGTCTTGTAATCCGTTTGATAGGAATGATGAAAAATAAGAAAAATAAAAAATAGGAGGGATACACTTTCTATCCTTCAAGGATGAAAAGTAGGAAGGACATATTTTCCTTCTTTTGTATTTGGTTGGATGAATAAAAAATAAAAATGACTATTTTTTTTTTGTGCTGGCTAAGATTAGGGATGACAATTGAGTCGTGTCCTGTCAAATTCGTATTGAGTCATTACGGGTTTGTATCGAATATTAGTCAAACCTAATTTAACTATTAACTAATTGTGTCGTGTCGAGTTATGAGTTGACCTGTTTATTTTCGTATTGAGTTCGAGTCGTGTCATCGTGTTGAATCGAAAATTTTTACCCTTTGTTAAGATGGAAAAAATATATTTTTTTTAATTAAAAATTTCTTTTTTATTTTAAATTTTTTTAAAAAAATTTATATATATATATATATATTACCATTGTATTTTTATATGAAATTAATGTATACATAATATATGTATATATAAAAAGATAAATAGACAAATAATTAACTTTTATCCACTTTTTTTTCGATTTTGGAGGAATTGATTTTGGTGAGTTGGAATGAAAGTTAATCCATCCACTTTTCTATCCNTTTATAGTGTGTGTTTTTAATTTCAACTTTTTTTTTATTTTTTACTAAAGATAGAGCATAGATGAGAGTAAATATGAGTTGATTTTTTAATATTTTTTTATTTTTTTAATTTCTAATTTTTAGGTTTCTAATGTAATGGATTAGATTATTGGCCTAAATTATTGTAATAAAAATTTTGATTTAACTTAATCTTTTAGGGCTTAAAATTTTTTGGATTCATATATTTTTGTGAACTAGTAATGTACCAAAAATTATGTGACCTTCTAAAAATTTGGGATCTAAAATACAACCTTTATTTTTTAAAGAAATTTGGAGGTCGGTCTCCCTTTATGGACTTATTTGGTAGAAAAATTATTTAATATTAAATCTATTATAATCTCAATTGTATAAAATACACCTAGTAATTACGTTTAATTAAAATAATTTTTTATTTTATTGGGCCGGCCTTCCCACAGAGTTTATTAGATAAACAAGGACTCTAATTGTATCACATCAAGTGTTATAAGAGAAATGGCGTATAAAGATGATATCCACAGCATTATTTTATGATGTATATCATTGATCCTAAATATTAGGTTGAAAATTCAATCGCAAAACCCCGAAAGATAATAAATTATCCCAAAAATATAGTGCAAAAACTCTTAAAAGTTGTATATCATGGTACGATACCATGTTTTTTTTTTTTTGGGTATGATAGAGTACGATAGACCTCTCCTATAAAATAATAGTGCAACTCTCTCTCTCTATATATCTGTCTATCTCTCAATGTCTCTCTCCCATGAGTCACGCCTATGAAAGCAGCTTCCTTCCTTATTTGAAACTAATTTATTG